AGCGGCCACTGCACTCCAGTCTGGGCGACAGAGTGAGACTCCAACTCAAAACAAAAGACAAGAAAAACATCTCCAACAGAGAGTGAGGTGAAGGGCGGCCCTCGTCCTGATGACGCTCAGCTTCTCTGGGGGTCTCCAGCGATGGTGCGAATGGCAGCAACAAACACTATGTACCAGACTCCACTCAAAGCCCCTCCACGAGTCCCTTAAGCCCTCATAGCAATCCTGCAATCAGGGTACCCTCTTCCCTTAGAGACAAGGAGATCACAGAGAGGTGACATGCTCACACACACAGCTCATCAGTGGAGGTATTGACTCCACATCTGTGCTCTGTCTTTAAACACAAAGAAATGTAAGAGGCCGGACAGCTGATTCCTCCAGCAAGAGGGAACACACCTTTGGAGTGACTGTATTTTGAAAATCCACTTAGGCCAGGCGTGGTGGCTCACGCCTGTAATCCCAGCAAGGACTGCCTGAGTCCAGAGGATCCAGACCAGCTGGGCAACTTGGCGGGACCTCCTCTCTACAATAAATCCAAAAATAAGCCGGGCGTGGCAGCGCACACCTGTGGTTTCAACTACTTGGAAGGCTGAGGAGGATCGCCTGAGCCCAGCAGGTCGAGGCTATGGTGGCTGCGAGTGTACCACTGCACTCCAGCCGGGGTGACAGAGTGAGACTACGACTCCCCAAAAAAAAAGAAAGAAAGAAAGAAAGAAAATCTACTTAATCAAATACGAGAGAGACCTCATTCAGACAAAGAGGCACCTTTGGAGAGTATGGTGAATGTAGATTCACCGTGGAGGGAGGGAGGTGTTTCCTCGCTCACCTCCCTCCCTGCCTACCACCCAAGTCCTCAGCACGAGGCATCGCTGAATCCCACAGGCCACAGGAAAGCACACGCCTGCCCAACAGGACAACTACGGCTGGGATGCCGAGAATTCTGTCACGCTAAGTCAGATGCCGCATCAAAACAGCAATTCTCCACACTCAAGAGAAGCGCCCCGATTTCAGCTAACAGAGAAATACCATGCGTAACTTAAAGCCATGGCCCTGGTTTGGTGGGGCAGGGGACTCTTAAATATGTGAAGGGTCAACCAAAAATGATGCAACATTTTGCAAACAGGAGTTTCCTGAATGCAACACAAGTGTGGCACTATTGTGTGCTGAGGATGGAGGATGGAAGTCCCCGCCACCACTGTGACCTTCCACAGTCCCCCAGGCTTGGGCTGCAGCTGGCCGCTCCATGATACTCCACCAGATGGCAGTCTCTAAGGTCTGTCCTGCTGTAAGATGCTGTGACTGTGACAGTTTATCAGACTTTGTCTTCTAAAAAAACAAGACTGTATGCCTTCACGCAGATGGGGTACAGTTAATTTCATACTGGTTTGTGCTAGCTGCTCCAGCGATCCTTCCGCCTCAGTCTTCCAAGTAGCTGGAACTACAGGCGCGTGCTACCATGCCCAGCTCATTTTGATTTTATTGTAGAGATGAGGTCTCGCCAAGTTGCCCTGGCAGGTCTCAAACCTGCGGACTCAGGCAATCCACTCACCTCAGCCTCCCAAAGGCGGGGGATTACAAGCTGAGCCACCGAGCCCAGCTTCAGCTAATTTCTTAATTAAAATTTTTATTCAAAAAATTAGCCGGGCATGGTGGCGCACACCTGTGATCCTAGTTACTGGGGAGGATGAGGTAGAGGAAGCGCCTGAGCCCAGAAGTTCGAGGCTGCAGTAAGCCATGATCAAGCCACTGCACTCCAGTCTGGGCCACAGAGTGAGACTCCGATTCAAAAAGAAAAAAGATGAGGCTGTGGATTTAAAACACAAGATGCCAGTAATTCCGCGCCTTTGGGAGGCTGAGGTGAGTGGACTGCCTTAACCCGCAGGTTCGAGACCCGCCTGGGCAACTTGGTGAGACCTCATCTCTACAATAAATC